TTACATTCAAGTAGACAACGTTTTATAACAATAGAATTTACAAACTTGTATATATTTACGAAAAAGATCGCAGATTGTGGAGGCAATTATTTTGACGAACGAAACTTTTTATTAAAATTTCTGTGTTTAATTCTTATTTCGAAAAACCGCAAGAATTTTTTTAGTTAACTAATACAATACTATTTGAAAGAAAGACAGGTAGATGATATATTCAAAAATTAATAATAGATATAGCATTATAGCATTTTAACATTGATGAACAACGATATAAAATGATGAGAATACACTAACAGTATTTTGTTAATCATAATTAAATTAAACATAAATTGAAATTTTTTCAAATTACGTACATCAAAATTCCATTTAACTAAAAGGTAATAGATTCATTTTATTTATATATTAATTCTTCTTATCAATTATGACTTCTCAATTAGAAGATAAGAATTTAAGTTTAAATATACAGATTTAATTAAAATTTTGTTTCAATGAATAAAGCTCCATGTTAATTAGATAAATATACGTTATTTAGATATACATACAATCCTTAGTCATTTATGAACACTTTGACATTTTCAAAAATTTAGAAATTTTTCTGTCAACTATTTTGCTAGTTGTAATTGTCTTCCATAAATAGAAAAAAAGTAACAAAATATACATTATATAAATTCAATTATAAATCATCAATTCAGTAACTCTATAAATTCAATTAATATTTAGCATCATATTTCACAGTTTGTAAATTATATAATCAATTCAATAGACTTATATAAATTCAAATAATATTTAGTACGAAATTTTATTAGATTACATAATAAATTTTATATTATAGGCCATAAATTCAATCAATATTCAGTTTTCTAATCTCACGATAGAATCTAGTTATACCTTCTACAATGAGACACGTAATTAATATTATCTTTAAAATTTAATAAGAAATTAATTAAAAATTAGAATTCAGTGAGAAAAGGAAAGGAATTTAAATTGCCTGAATCGAATCTAATGTAGACGTTAGACAATAGTTGTATAATAGTGCAGGAAGTTGGAGAACTAACATCCTCAACAAGCACGGCCAATTCCTCAATCGGATTCGGCGCCATGTCACCTGGTATCAACAAATCCTTGTAATTGTGCTCGGTGACCATTTGGGGCTCCCTCTTCAAGAAGTACGTCTGCTTTCTCTTGGATTGCGTTATTTCGAGATAGGGCACTAAGAGACCGGCGGGTGTCAATTGCAACACGAGGACCATCTCTGATGCGGTACCGAAGAACTTTGTAATTACGTCCTAGAATGTGAAAGTTAAGAATGATTTTAGTCGTTATTGAAATCAAATGAAGAAATCTCATTTTTAGAATCTCTTTGATCGATTGCCTTCCTGCGGATCATTTGACAAATACATAAGTAACGATCGTTACTTCGACTGTTTCTTCCTTAACGTATGTATTTCTTATCTTTTGCTTGCCACATACCTCGAGAAAATAATTTAAACAAAGTTAGGGAAAAATAGATTTTTAAAATAAGTAAGCAGAAATAAGTATTTTTATTCGAGTTGTACAAAATAAATAATATTGATAAATAATATACTTTGAAATAATATTTATATAAAGAAATAGTACATTTTATACTTATATAACATATGTATAAATATTTATTTATAGATATTATAGATTTATATACTATATATATATA